ACACCCCTGATTTCATAACCTCTGCTGCGAACATCCTTGACGATAGCCCTCGTGTCATGCATGCTGGTGCACATGATGATGGACTTCGCGTCAACTTTCAGCTTCCTGAGCTTCAGCTGCTCGCACGTGAACACTATGCATTCCACCGTCTGTCGTCTGAGTGCCTTCCTCGAACCTGCCATACGTTGAGATAAGTCGTCGATCCACAATCTGTGATCGAACTGCGGGTGCACGGTCGCAACTGCTTCCATCACGAAGTGAGTGAGCGCCTTGGCAAAGCGCGTGCCAGAGCGTAGTCCTCGGACTACACTCTGGCTGGGTTCGAACGGGTCAGTCGCCGCGCCCATTTGTTCTAGTGCCCTGGGTGCTACACATTGCACCAGCTCGAGGTAAAGCACAACAGGAGGAAATGTGAGTCGAAGCGCTGCTGCTACTAGAGGCTGCCATGGTATTGAGTCGTAGAAGGCTTCTATGTCAAGCATAGCGTGCCCATGCTGCATTTTGAAATTATGAGCGACCTCTTCACTTATCGAACGTAAGAAAGCCTCTTGGAGGCATGAATTGCCACGTATAGCAGCGTCCCAGTGTGCTGATTTTTCTTTACTCCATACCTGAATTTCTTCTTCACGAATCATTGACCATACTCGGCCCAGCATAGAGACCAAGCCTATCGCTCGATCTCCCGAACTCTTCTTGGGAGTGAGCCGTGCGAGGATCAGAAGCACCTGCACTGGCCACGTGAGGGCGGCCTCCACCGCCTCCAGCAGCAGGGCCATCTCGGCCAAACCCGCTGCTGGGAGGCGCTCGTAGTCGACGGGCGTGAAGCCGTCCACGCCGGTGCCTGCGTTCGCCTTCATCCTTCGGCATGCCTTGACGATGCTGGTAGGGCCGATGGGCTCGAGCGGGGCGTCGACCGCCTCAGCTCGGATCTGCCTGAACAGCTCCCTGGTGTCGCTGAGGTTGACGGTAGTGGGAGCCCATAGCTTCTTGTAATGCTTCATCTTCTCGTCCATGATATCTTTGGGGTGGTAGATGGTGCGTCCGTCCATGGCCAGCTCGACCGCTGGTAAGACCTTGGGCTTCAAGGACTTGTGGAGGATCCCGCGCGCCTTCGGCTCCGTCACCCACTGACGGAAGTCGTGCAGCGATGACTGGACTGCTACCCGCTGGGCTCGAGCTGCCACACGCTTGGCACATCGTCCCCATGATTCCAGTACTGGTAGGGCAACCTGGCCTCCGCAGCGCAGAAACTCGGTCCACTTCTCCCACGGCGGGTCCTTGTCGAGCCTTAGCAAACCATGGGCGTCGGCAGGAACATCGCCAAGGAGCTTATGGCAAGCGGTGCGGTATCCATCCAGCTGCACATGTCCGTTGTCACGCAGCGTGTGCCGCAAGACTCCAGCCACAACTGTGCACGCTCTCGTCCACCATTGAGCACGACCGTCTCGTAGGTGGAGCTGCCGACGGTGTGAAGCCTCGTGGACCGAGCGTACCCGAAACTGTGGACCGTTCGCATGCGGCGTGCCAGCCATGGCTTGGTCGTGGTGCGCAAGGATGGCGCGCTCTGCCGTGGTCGCCCGCGCAGCATATAAACCTGATATTGTGGCGGAGTGTTTTGGTTCGAGCCGAAACGCTACGGAGCGCAGCAAAGGAGGGGAGACATATTCTAAACAAGTGGCTCCTGACGCAAACCCAACATCTTCCCGAATCTGACACCACAAATCCTGCGGTATCTTGAACGACGGTTCGGGGGTGGTCGCGGCAGGGCCAGTCAGCTCGGGCTCGGCTCCTCGGGCGTCTTCCATGGCATGGTCGTTTAAACCGTCAGGGGGGGGGGGGCTGGCCCGAATTGGAGGGGGGGCTGAGACCGCACATAGACGCATCGATGCCAGCAGTGGCACCAGTCTCCCGATGACTGTCACGTGCTGGCTGATTCGGAGTCCTGGGCGCGGGGAGAGGGGCCGAGGGAGGGGCAGCAGGGGCTGGCGTGACAATATGTTGGCTGATCGTCACGTCAGGACAGAAATTAAGCTCGTTTTCCCAAGGGTCGGGCTCATCAGGCCAGACGTCGAGATCGAGCTCTGGTTCAAAATCTTGAGTCGCAGGATCCATCCCTGTAGGACCCTCAACTCTCCCTACATCGTCGTGAGACCCAGACTGAACACAGTCCCCAAAAAGAGAATTTATAATCCCAACACGCTTGGCAGCAGCCTCAACTTGGGCCGACTGCCTCAGAGACTTCGCACGGGAGCTCTTGGAACCAAGAGTGGGAGCCGTCTGGGGCCTAGCCACCTGGGGCAGCCTAAGGGGCATCTCGAGGACCCTGGTGACCAGCTGGAGGCCCGAGCTCCTAAGAGTGAGGTGCAGACCTACATGTGGTTTCCAGCTCACATCGCGGACGACGGTCAGATCCTTGACGAAGGGAAGGGCAGATTGCGAGCAGACCATATAATCCAAGAGCGAGTCTGGAGCATTTTTCCTCGCGCACGTGCCCACACCTCCTTGCGCCACACGGATGATCCCGTCTACCTGCTGAATGAAGCTGGAGGCCTGCAGCACGGTGGGGTCCATGTTAAAATCGCCGATGACGAGCCACGGGATGCGCACCGACTTGAGCAATCCTCCCAGTCGTCCATACCGACGCTTGTTGTGGCCCGCCATCTGAATCGAGGAGTAGCCGTAGAGCAGGACGACCAGGAGGCTGTAGCCCGTCTGGTGGATCACCATCGGCAGGAAGCCGTCCAGCGCCGACGTCCCAACATCGGATAACTGAGCAGCTGCTGCCCGAGCCTCAGGGAGAAGGTGTGCTTGAAGATGCTTCCGTGCTAGGAACATTTCTCCACCTTCATTCGATCTGTCTTGCTTGTCAGCTGAAACTGTCTTGCCTGACTCGCGTGCTGGATTGTGGTACAATCTAAGCTTCTGCAGTCGAGCCTTTTTATCCCATTCATGCAGTTCGGCCGAGGAGTGAACATGTGTCTCCAGGATGCCGAAGAAGTGGTATGTAGCCGAATTCTTGACCAGGTACTTCCAAACTTTGTCAGAGAGCTCCGTCACGTTCGCCACAAACATGTGCGTGAACTCCTGACCCTCGGTTGTGTCAAGGGTCCGAGGTGAACCCTCCTGTATTTGTCAAGCCGTGGCCGCGGCAGCAGCCGCCCCAGCCTCCTGGCAAGGCGTTGCGCTCTCACCAGTGGCGGCGACCGCTGGGTCGCCATGCCTGGGGGCGGCCGTGCTGTCGGAGCCCTTGCCCTTCGCCTTGGCCGTCTCGATCATCGCCTGGTAGCGCGCGTCGGACAGCTTCTCCGCTTCCTCTTTGAGCATCTCGGAACGCTTGGCGTCCTCGCCGTCGGCCTGGGGCTTCGGTAAGTCCTTCGAGCCCTCCGCCGCTGGCGCCTCTGCAGGCTGAGCCTCTGGTGGAGGGGCCGCTTCGCCTGCCTTGCCCTTGCGCTTCTTGGACATCCTGTCCGTGATGTCCTGCTGGTACTTCTTGGCCTGCTCGAGCCACTGTGTGATCTCCTTCTCTTTACCTTCCAATAGGCCACGTGTGTTGAGAAGGTCCTGCTGGAGTGTCTGCAGTGCAGCTCGCTCAGGCTCCGTGCAATCCATCTTGTCCAGGCCCGCGAAGAAGGTCTCGTCCCACTCAAGCTTGAACATGGGTCCCTTCTGCTGGCTCTGGCTCTGCGTGTTCGTATTGACGTCCTGGACGCCCTCTGCCATGGCCACCGCCCGAGCCGCTGCCGTCTTGGCCTCCTTGGCCTCAGCCAGGCGCAAGGCGGCCGCCTCCTCCTTGGCCTCCGCTGCCTTCAAGCTGGCGCGAAGGCGGAGGACGGAGGCCACGGCTGGCTCATGCAAGTGGTCCGCGTTCTTGAAGGCCCCGTCCGCTCTCTTCATGGCATCGACGGGGTTGGCTGCAGGCGGCGGCGGGTCGCTCTGGATCCGTGTGATCTGCGCCTTGAGGGTGTTCTGCAGCTCCTTATCGTTGGTCGCTGCCAAGGCCTTGCGCAGGTGCTGCGAGACCTCAGTGCCGCCGCCCTTGCCGCTGCGTTTGACGCCCGACGGGGAGGGGCTGCGGCTGCGCGAGCCGACCTGCTGCCGCCGCCGCCTCCCGTGTCGCTGCTGGGCTCCTCCTCGCACTCATGGAAGTCCTCAATGTCATCGGCCTCCCGTGTCTAGGTCGAACCTGACCGTGCCTCTGACTGGCTTCTTGTAGAGCGTGAGAACGGTCTGGCAGCCTGGGCACTTCCGCTGGTTCATGCTGAGAATCGAGTTCCACTCGCAGCGCTTGCATTTGTCGCACCTCGTCCACGGAGGCGTCGACGTCGACATGCCGCTGACAAGTGTGCTGGTCCGTACAAAACCTCTGTCTTGGTCGTGGCCCCAGTGGTGTGGCTGACACCAGGGCCAAGTCCCTCAAGCACCACGTGGAGGTGCAGAGGACCTGGGGGACGGCAAAATGCTCGAGCCCAAGTTGCTTGAGAGGAGGAGGGGAGGAGGAGGGGGAGGAGGAGGAGGAGGAGGAGGAGGGAGGAGGAGGAGGAGGAGAGGAGGAGAGGGAGGAGGGGGAGGAGGAGGAGGAGGAGGAGGAGGAGGAGGAGGAGGAGGAGGCGCTCGGCATGTTTGCATGCTCGGCGGCCTCCATAGCAACGACTGGGCGCAGCGCGCAAACCCTGTCAGGATGATGCTCGGAAGGAGAGGGGGAGGAGGAGGAGGAAGAGGAGAAGACATGTTGCTCCATCATGCGCCAGGAAGGACACCATAGGCCCTTGCACCATCGAGGAAAGCACATGACGGCCTCAACCCTCAAAGAAGTGCATCATAGCCTCGGCCATCAAATCCAAACTTAGCCACACAAAGAACGCATAACCCATATCACTCATAAAACCATCCCTTCGTTGAGTGCGCAGCGAGCCCTCTCCTCCCCTGCTCCTCCCCCGGGTTGCCGAGGTCCGCCCCGTTGCCCTGCGCTGGCCGGGCCGCCCAATTTCACCCTCCGGGTCCTCCACCGTCATCCTGCGCCAGCCTGGAAGCCTCGGGAGGAGCAGCAGCAGGAGAGGGGAGGGGAGAGGGAGGAGGTAGAGGAGGAGAGAAAAAACGCAGAAGTGCAGAGGGGGCGGAGGACCAAGTGGATAGGGGGAGAGCGCTTGGGCAGGACGGGAATAGGGAACGAGTGGGTGGGGGGAAGAGGACGAGGGGGATGAGGAGCCAAAGGTACACCAACGATTGCGTTGCTGGTGCTACCGTTTGTGTTTGTCTCGTGTCTTTCACATCCTATCTCAAGTCCTCCGTCTACTGGGCGGGACCGCACAGACAAACAAAGCCGCACGTACAGGTGGGGGGGGGACCAAATTCCTGGCCGGCCTGGATTGCCGAATTTCCTCTGGACGCCACCGAACGGTCAGGACGGCCCAAGACGCTGCGAAAACGGCCCAGGGGGCTCCGAAGAGGGCTTCAGTAGCCCAGGACAGCCGAAGCTGGCCTCAAGATGCCTTCAAGATGGCCCAGGAGGGCCCCAAGGCGCACCCGAGACGGCAAAACCACATTGAACCAAACAGTGTTTTCAACATGCGTTCCTGTCCCATCTCCGAGACGGTCACAAGGTGCCCCCCCAAACCCTAATACGCTGCAACAATTACCCTGACTGGCACAATAAGGCCTAATACGTCAATCCCACCATCCCTTGAAGGCGTGAGTGGTTTAGAGCGCTTCATCTTCCAAACCCCCCTTCTTCACCTTTGGGGGGTTTACCCCTCCCCATCTCCCCTCCCTCTGGACCTGGACAGGAGGGCTCGCGAGGCCTTGGAGCGTCCAAGATGGCCTCGGCGAGAAGGCCACAATCACTAGTGTTACTGAGGCTTGGGCCCCTGTTTGGTCTCGCGTGTGTGGGGTGGGGGGGGCAATTGAGTACCCCCCTTCTCTGATCGAGCGAGCTCCTCCAAGATGGCCCCAAGATGGCCCCAAGATGGCCCCTAGGAGTGCCCCGCGAGGGTCCCAAGAGGGACCCAGGAGGCCCCAGGCGGCCCCCAAGGGGTCCCCAAGAGACCCCCAAGGGGCCCTGAGAGGCTACCCCGAGGCACCCAAGACGCACCAAGAGGCGCCTGTGGCCGCCACGAGCACCCGGAGACGCCCCAAGAGGACTCCAAGACGTCGTCGAGCGGCATCCGAAGAGACCCGGAGAGACATCCAAGAGGCCTCTTGCCGTTCTGCTCCCCCTATTCCTCCTGCTCCTGCTCCTCCTCCTCCTCCTCCTCCTCCTCCTCCTCCTCCTCTTCCTCTTCCTCTTCCTCATCCTCCTCATCATCATCATCATCAGCAGCAGCATCAGCATCAGCATCAGCATCAGCATCAGCATCAGCATCAGCATCAGCATCGGCATCAGCATCAGCATCAGCATCAGCATCGTCGTTATCATCATCAACAACAAGTACATCATAACCAGCATCAGCATCAGCATCAGCATCAGCATCAGCATCAGCATCATCGTCGTCATCATCAGCATCATCATCCTCATCATCACAATCATCATCATGATCAGTATCAGCATCATCATCATCATCATCATCATCATCAGCATCATCATCATCATCAGCAGCAGCATCAGCATCAGCATCATCATCAGCATCATCATCATCATAAACATCTTCTTCATCATCATCATCATCATCATCAGCATCATCAGCATCATCATCATCATCATCATCATCATCATCATCATCATCATCATCATCACCATCACAAGCATCATCATCAGCACCATCATCATCAGCAGCATCATCATCCGCATCTTCCTTCCCCTCCCTCCTCCCTGCTACCCTTCCCCTTCTCCCTCCTCCTCCTCCTCCTGCTCCTCCTCCTACTGCTCTTCCTGCTGTTCCTCCTGCTGCTCCTCCTCCTCCTCCTCCTGCTCTTCCTCATCCTCCTCCTTTCCCCTCTTGGGGTACGACGTCTTACCGGCCCTTTATTCCACTGCGTGCTCCTCCACGTCCCTGATCAGGGCAACTCGTTTTGGCCTCGTTTCTGGATGGGTTCTTGGTGTTACGCCAAGCCTCTATAATATGGGCCGAAGAGGCCTCAAGATAGCCCCCAAGACGCCCCCACGAGGCCCTACCTATCAAGGCCCATAGCCTGCTCTAACATAGATCGTTACAGGATGACTCCCCAAAGGACGTCTCCAGAAGTCTCTGGAGGTCTCCGAGAGCTCCTGGAGGCCCCCCGAGGCTTCCAGAGGCAGCACGACGGCCAAAACCGACCCCCGCGCTCTACCCTCGACCCATGATCCTCGAGGGCAGTGGAGCAGGAGCAGGAAGAGCTGGCATGCACGAGAGAAGCGGGCCCTGAGGGAAAACGGGTCATGCACCCTGGGGCCATTCCCCTCCGAAACAAGCTCTTCGCCCGGACTCGCTGCGCTGCCTGACGGCCCAGAGGCCCGGGGAGGGACCCGAGAGCCCGAACCCGGCGAACACAAGCCTCGGGACCCGCCCCCCCCTCGGGGCCCCGCTGGCTCCGCCGCGAGAGGAGGGAGCAGGCGAGCAGGCAGCTTGGAGCACGGGGCTCGGGGGGGCGCCGTGGCCCTGGAGGCCTCGCTGGCTCCGGGCCCTCCGGGGGCGTGGTCTCCACGAGGAAGAAGCCCGCGCCCCAGCCTGGCGCCAGGACACTGCGGTGGCCTTCCACCTCGGCGGGCTCCTCCGCCACCCCAAGTTCCGGACGAGTAGCTTAATCCTCCTCCTCCTCCTCCTCCTGCTCCTCCTCCTCCTCCTCCTCTTCCTCCTCCTCCTCCTCCTGCTTTTCGCTGCCGTCGGACGCCACCATCGCCGCAACCGACGACGAGACGACGCCGACCACGCCACGCCGACGACGCTGCCGACGACGAAGTGCGACTCAGACGCCGACGTGGGGGACAAGGACGACGTGCAACGACGACGACGACGACGACGTCGACGTCGACCTGCAACGACGTGCAACGCCGACGCAAACGACACGCGAGAACGACGACGAGAACGAGCACGACGTACAGCGCCGTCGCCGACGCCCCCCCCGGCCGGACTCCCGCCCGCCAGCATGGAGGTGCCCGACCCGCCCTCGCCGAGGGGCGCGTCGGCCCGCGCGACGGGGCACGGCGGCCAGCGCCGCGTCTGCGCCGCCACCCGCTGCTCCACGCGGCGGAAGCCCTGGCCGGGCGCGGGCCGCCACGGCGGACGCGGCTGCCACGGCGGCGGGCGCGGAACCGCGGCCGGGGGGCGGCTGCGGCGGCGAGGGCGGTCGCGGCGGCGGCGGCCGCGGCGGGCCCGGCCGCGGCGGCGGCCGCGTCCTCGTCGTCCTCCTACTCCACCCCGATCGAGGCTCTGCCCTCCAGGGCTTCCGGAGGGGGGCACCACGAGGTGGGCGGGCGGAGATGACAGAGGTGTGAAGGGAGGAAGAAGAGCAAGAGGAGTCAGAAAGAGGATGGGGAATGTGCTGGAATGCGCTGGGCGCCACTGCCCACGTGGCTGAAGTAGAGGTGGCGAAGGAAAGGAGAAGGAGAAGGAAGCCGAGGAGATGGGTAGGAGAGGGAGGCGAGCGAATGGCTAAATCTTGCGACAGATCACGACTGATCAGATCGCAGACCGCGGGCCCTCAGTACGTGATTTGAGATTGCGCTGCGTACGAAACCGCCGAAGCGGCACATGAGCCAGTGCTGCTGGCCGGCTCGACGGTGTGCTGACCATCGTGCTCTCACGCTCCGCCTCGAACCGCCGGCCTCTCCCCCGCGCGTGGCCGAGGCCCCGCTGCGTGGTGCGGGACCTCTCCATCATCGGGTGCGCTGATGAGGGAGGCCACGAAGAGGGGGGGCGGATCATGGCCTGAGGCATGTGGGCGAAGGAGAGGGGGCCAGGGAACGCGCTCAGAGAAGAAGAGGGCGCCATGAGATCTGGGAGGTCCCAAGGCCCTAGCCATGATCCCTACCCCCCCCCGTCGGTCCTTACCCCTCCCTTGCCGGGTAGACATAAGACTCGGGTTCGGGGGGCTCGGAGGCCTGACGGGGCCATGATGAAAATCATGAGACCCAGTCTAAAATGTCACGCGAACTCCCGCCCCAAACATCCCGCGAAAACCGGGCGCGCCCGCCAAAAGGCGCCCGCAAACCAGAGCTCCAGCGCACTCGAGCCGTATACGCTGCCACGCTGCCCCGACCTTGGACCGCGGCCGCGACCGCTGCTGCGGCCGCGGCTGCGGCCGCGGCTGGGAGCCGCCCCTGTGTCTCAGGAGGGGCCTCGGCGGGAGGAGGAGGAGGAGGAGGAGGAGGCCGCGGTGGCTTTTTCCTCTTTCAGCCGCGGCTGCGGCCGCCTCTCTTCGGCCGCCCCGACGTCCGCCAGCCGGCCTCGGGAGAGCCGAGCCGGACCCCGCCAGTGGGCCTCTGCGCGGGGCCGCAGCGCGCCGCCGGGGCGGCGCACTGCGGCTCGGCGCGGCGCGGGGCGTCGCCGGCGGCGGACGCGGCGGCGAAGGCCCACAGCGGCGTGGCAGGGAGGCGCTGCAGGCTGCGCCCAGGAGGCCCGCGGCAGCAACGGGGCGGGGGCCGTCGCTGCGCCGCTCCGCGTCTGGGGCGCATCGCCGTGGCCACTGAAGTCCGCAGGGGGCCCTCCGTGGAAAGTCCGGGGTCGCTTGGGGCCAGGGGCTCCTCGAGCCAGAATGGCTACGGAGACGTTTCGGGGCCTTCTTGGGCCCTTGTTGGCCCACTTGGGCTTGTCTTCGAGCCATCTTGGCCTGCGAACCAGACCTCCTGGGTCGCATCGAGTCCGAATTGGGACGCCGTTTCGCTCATTTGAAAGCCCCCGTGGGCTGCGCCCAGGAAGTCTAAAGCCGTCTGAACATCGGCGCTGAAGCCGCGGATTTCATGCACCGGCGCGGAAGCCCCCCCGGCGGGGCCGCAGGCGCCGCCCCTGGCGCGCGGAGGGAGGCCCAGCGCCGCTCCAGAAAAGCAGCACGGACCTCCGAAAGGTAACGTTTCTGCTGTTTCTTGTTCCCCGATCCTCCCCCCTCCCCGCCCCCTCCTGGTGCCCTTCCGCCACCTGCACCTCCGCATCGGCGATGCCCCGATGATGCATCGGCGATACACCGGCGACGTCGGCGATGCATCGGTAACGCCAGCGCGGAGAAAATGGAGCCCCACATATCGAGCCGCATCGGCGATGCATCGGCGATGCATTGGCGATGCATCGCCGATGCGGCGCGGTCATCCGACCCCATCTACTCGGACCGCATTTTGAGGGTCTCGACCCACTCCGCCACCCCTGACGCGCCCCGCTCCCCCTCCCCTCCCCTCTGGACGCCCGAATTAGGCACGAAACAAATGATAACGATGCCCAGCAGAAAATGATGTCCCAAACCGACAGCGGCCGTTGTTGGGCAGGCGGCCTTCTGTCTCAAATGGAAGACGCCCGCCGCGGCACGGACAGCGAACCCTGTCCAAAATGAATAGGGGCTGTGGTCAATCATCGTACCCAGTCTTTCAGTATCCACTTCGATCGTACCGATCCCCAGAACTTAATGCTTGTATCATGTTCGCTTCCCGATCCGAGATCCAGCTTGATCCCCGCAGGTTGACTGACGAAGAGCCGTCAAGCCCTCAGGAAGTCTCCCCCTGAGACCCGACGTTGCCAAAAACAACAACATCGACAAAAAGAGCACGACCCGAGCCCCAGACCTCACTTGTCTGATTCAGTTTTCGAGTCGGATCGATCTGCAAAACCCTAGAACCCGAAACAGGGCGGAAACGCCCGTTGTGAAAAAAATGGCACCGCCAAAATTTGAGGGATCGGCGTCGTAGACCCCATCGTGAAGAAGTCTCAAGCGAAACGCCTGGCCGGCCCTACCGACGTGTCGGGGGGTGCGACAGATGTGAGGCATCTAGAAGGAACAGGGAAAAGGAGTGGGAGTGGAGGAGGAGGAGGAGCAGGCAGAGTGAGGAGGAGGACGAAGAGGAGGAAGAGGAGAAGGGAACCCTTACCGCCTCATGGACTCCTCCCCCTCCCCTCGCCCGCCTCATGCCACTCGGCCACCTGGAGCTCTGGCCGCATCCGCACGAGATCGGCCTCCATCCGGGCCGGCGAGTTCACCGGGCTCAGCAGCAGGCACGGCCTCCGCGCCAGCAGGGCGTCCACGCGCGCATCCTCCTCGGGCGAAGAGGGGGCGCGGGAGCCCGAGGGAAGGGGAGCTTCCTACCTGCCCTCCTCCTCCTTCTCCTCCTCCTCCTCCTCCTGCCTGCCTCCTGCTCCTGCTCCTGCTCCTGCTCCTCCTCCTCCTCCTCCTCCTCCTCCTCCTCCTGCTCTCCTTCATCTCATCATCATCAATCATCCATCATCAATCATCATCATCATCAACCCCCTCCTCCTCCCCCCCTCCTCCTCCTCCTCTCGTCTCCTCCTCCTCCTCCTGCTCCTCCTGCCCACCTCTCCTCCTCCTCCTCCTCTTTCGTCTCCCGTACCTCCTCCTCCTCCTCCTCTACCCCTCCTCCTCCCCCTCATTCTCTCCCCCCTCCTCCGCATCCTTCTCCTCCTCCTCCTGCCTCCCCCTCCTCCTCCCCCTCCTTCTTCCATCCATTGCACTTCTGAGTAACTCCCCGCTTTCGCACCCCGAGAAGTGTCGGTAGGGCGGGCTGGGCGTTTCGCATGAGACTCTATGACGAATTCCGATCATGACGCTGAGAACTTGCAACAGCTTCACACACGGAGCGCGGGCCGTTTTCCAAATGTGGCTCTTGCCTTATCGCCGCGCACATTCGTCATCAAAGTTTGCAAGAGCTTCACTAATAAAGGGCGGGTAGTTCCAAAATGTAGCGTGACGCGCACACTCGCCTTAAGCATTTGGAAGAGCTTCACGGAAGGAGGGCGGTTCGTTTTCAACATGTAATTATCGACTTGGCGCCGCAAACGATCGTCTTCAAAGTTTGCAAGAGCTTCACGGATGGAGGGCGGCTCCTTCCCGAAATGCTGCTCTCGCCTAAGCGCCGCGCACATTCGCCTCAAAAGTTCGCAGAGGCTTCTTGGATGGAGGGCGAATGGCTTTCAAAATGCGGTTCTCGCCTAAGCGCCGCAAACATTCGTCTCACAAGTTTGCAAGAGCTTCACGAACGGGGGGCGGCTCATTTCCAAAATGTGGCTCTCGCCTGCGCACTGCGCTCATTCGTCGCACAAGTTTCCCACATATTGAAAAGATTCCCATGGTTGACGTCCCAGGGATGGTGTTCTGGCAAGATCTAGAATTGTCAAGGCGAGACAGTCATGCTGCTTCGCGGTGTTGAAATCCCAGGAACGGTCCGCTCGTACGATTCAGGACAGTCAGGACGCAATAACAAACTTTGACTTGCAGCGAAGAAGTCCCAGGAACAGTGTTTTAGCACAATTGGGGATTATCTGACGGTTGTCTTCCAACGGGGCACTCCCCGCAGGGACCTCTGAAGAGGGAACTTCGAGGGAGAGGTTAGTGCAACATCGTTGATGCGTCTTGGGTTTGCTAAGGTCCCCCTCCTCTGTTCTCCTCCTCCTCCTCCTCCTCCTCTTCCTCCTCCTCCTCCTCCTCCTCCTCCTCCTTCTCCTCCTCCTCATCCACCACTGAGCTAATTAGATGTGCGCGGCCGGCGGCTTTGGTCACGCATCCGCCACGTGCTGCTGCGAGCCAGGGCAGCCAAGTGGAGGAAGGTGCACGGCCCGGTGGCAGCGTTCATCGCCACGCTCGTGGACGCGGGCTGGTCACCTTTCAGCCCGGGAGCCCAGAAGCAGCCGGTTTCCGAGGGGACGGAGGTCTGGGACATTCCCCTCGCCAGCCTCGACGGCCAACTGCAGGTCGACTTCATTGAGTTCTCGGAGTTGTCCTTCTTCCCATCCTCTTCCTCCTCCTCCTCATCCTCCTCCTTCTCCTCCTACTGGTTCCTCCTCCTCTTCCTCCTCCTCCACCTCCTCCTCCTCCCTCCTCCTCCTCCTCCCCCTCCTCCTCCCCCTCCCCCTCCCCCTACTCCTCCTCCTCCTCATCCTCCTACTCCTCCTCCTCCTCCTCCTCCTCCTCCTCCTCCTCCTCCTCCTCCTCCTTTGGATGACCTCGGGCACGACCTCATCCAGTTCCGTTGGCAGCAGGCGGCGCGCCATCTCCATGGCGAGGGCCTGCTGCAAAGGCGGCGACGTCTGGCCAGTGAAGAGGGAGCTCGACTACCACGCCAAGCGGGGCCTCTGGCAGGAGAGGGCGCTCAACTACCTCGCGGTGGTCGGCGGGCAGTGGCCGGGTCAGAGGCAAGCGGATGCAGGCTGTCAGGGAAGCCTGCTCTGCCCCAAGTGCCTGGGCGCGGACGAGACGCTGGCCCATCGCATCTGGGAGTGCCCACGCAGTGTGGGTGAGCCTGCGTACGACAAGACGCAGCACCTCGTCCCGCAGGCCCTGGCGGAGCACGAGGCTTGCTCAGCGCTGTGGCTCGGGGGCATCAACCCCAAAAGCCGAACCACGCCCGCAGCGCTGGGCCCCGACCTTGAGCGCTTCCGCGACGTCGGCGACAGCGATTGGGATACCTTCGGCCAGCACCTGTTCATCTTCGGGGACGCCACGCGACGCCGCGTGGAAGCGGCCATCTGCTCCCTTGGGCGTCACGATGGCAGCTGGGTGCTCCAGAAGGGCGCCCTCGACATCCTTCCAGGCCGGCGTCAGACGGTGCCCCGAGGCGAGATTTACGCCTTCGTCGTTGCGCTGGAGCAGGTCTTGCACGACTTCACACACGTGACGGACCATCGGCCGCTACTGCTGGGCTGGCTGGCGGGCAAGGCGCGGGATGCCGGGAACGGCAAGAACGCGGACCTCTGGGCCAGGGTCGCTCGCGCCCTGCGAGCCCACCCTGATCGCCAGATCACCATGGACGACGACGGCGAGCCCACCGTGGACGAGTACCTGGCCACAGGGCCACAGGCAACTGCTGCGCCGACCGCCTGGCTGGCATTGCGGCGGAGTGGGCAGACACTGACCTGCTCGGCGACTGCAGCGAGAACCGCTGGGACGTCATCGGCTCACAGACCAGGCGGCGGGCGCGGCAGGCGTCATTGGACCAAGCTGGTGGGGACCCTTGGCTGGCGGAGAGGCCGTCGGCGCGGCGCCCTGCGCAAGACCCGCCGATGCTGAAGGCGATCCGCGCGCGTGCCTCGGCGATTTGGCCGCCTCCGAGAGCATGCCGCAGCTGGCGGAGATCAAGGCCCACAGCAACGGCATTGTGGCGGTCCCGCCAGGCGCTGAGGTCGCCATGGGCAGCGGCGACGTGGACTCCTCCCACCACCTGCACGAGTGGGCGGCGCACGCGTTCTTCTTCTGCATGGTGTGCGGCGCTTAAGGCACCACCCTTGGGCCAGGCCTGCGGCGAGCCTGCTCGGGGAAGGCGAGCAGGAAAAGCCGAGAGACGCTCGCCGGCATCAAGATGGGCGTCTACCCAGGCCGTGTGGGCCCACCTCAGGCAGCGAAGAAAGCTCTGGAGGTCGCCACAGTGGTGGACAGTATCTGCAGGAGCGCCCCCGCCCCCCACAGAGCAGATGCTCGCCAACGACCATCGAGTGCCGATCAAGGCGGCGACGGCGAGCACGAGCAGGTCGACGCCCCCTTCCTGGACTACCTGGACGTGCTGGACGCGGAGGCCGCCGCGGCCGCGGCGCCGCCCCGCGCCCCGAGCTCCACGGCTCCCCGCGGGCGGGCAGAGCGCCGCGGACGGGGCGCCGGGAGGAAAGAGCCCCCTGCGGGGCTCTTTCCTCCCGGGCCCGCTGCCCCCGAGCGGCGGGCCCCCGAGCGGCGGGCCTCGCTGCGCCGGGCCGCGGCCCCCGCGCCGCGAGCTGGAGGACGCCGAGAGGGCGCGGCGCGCCCGGGAGGCCGTCGCCTACCTCCTGGCCGCCGCCACGCGCCCCCTGGAGGCCCGGCGCGCGGGGCGCGCAGAGGAGGCCGAGCTCCTCGCTCGCGCGCAGCGGGCCCCACGCGCGCCCACCGACAGGGCGGCCCGCCGCGGCGCCGAGAGGGGCTGGCCCGCGCGCGCGCCCGCCTAGCCCGCCGCGCGACGGGCGACGGGCGAGGCCCGTGCTCCTCTGGGGGCCGCGCCACCGTCGCTGAGACGGCGGCGCGGCCTCCACTGAGGCCGAGCCTTCTTTCGCCCTCCTCCTGCTCCTCCTCCTCCTCCTCCTCCTCCTCCTCCTCCTCCTCCTCCTCGCCTCCTCCTCACCTCCTCCTCGCCTCCTCCTCCTCCTCCTCCCCTGCTCCTGCTCCTCCTCCTTCTCCTGCTCCTCCTCCTGCTCCCTCCTCCTCCTCCTCCTCCTCCTCCTCCTCCTCCTCCATCCGCTTTCCTTCTAATTACGCTACCGAGGAACCCCACATACCTGTTTTATTTCCCATGTGTACCATCGGTGCTTCTGCTGCTGCTCCTCCTTCTCCTCCTCGCAGCTGCTGCTGCTGATGCCGCTGCTGCTGCCCCACCTCCCCGTCCTCCTCCTCCTCCTCCCCGTCCTCCTCCTCCTCCTCCTCCTCCTCCTCCTCCTCCTCCTCTACCTCCTCCTCCTACCTCCCAGCGCACCCCCTGTGGCGTCGAGGACATGCCACGCCTGCCACGCCCTGGGAGCCTACAACGCATAGGACCCCCTTCCCCAGCGCACCCCCTGTGGCGTCGAGGAAATGCCACGCCTGCCACGCCCTGGGAGCCTACAACGCATAGGGCCCCCGCCCCCAGCGCACCCCTTGTGGCGTCGAGGAAATGCCACGCCTGCCACGCCCTGGGAGCCTACAACGCATAGGGCCCCCAGACCCAGCGCACCCCCTGTGGCGTCGAGGAAATGCCACGCCTGCCACGCCCTGGGAGCCTACAACGCATAGGGCCCCCACCCCCAGCACACCCCCTGTGGCGTCGAAGGAATGCCCTGTGTGCTATGCTGTGCTGTGCTGTGCTGTGCTGCTGTGCGGTGAGCTGTGCTGTGCTGTGCCGTGCTGTGCCGTGCTGTGCTGTGCTGCGCTGTGCTGTGCTGAGTTGAGCTGAGCTGACCTGTGCTCAGCTGTGCCGTGCTGAGCTGAGCTGAGCTGACCTGGGCTGTGCTGTGCTGAGCAGTGCTGTGAGGAGGAGGGGAAGGGTGAGGTGTGTGAGAGAGAGAGAGAGACGGAGAGGGAGGTGTGGGTGTGTGAGTCTCGCGGGTGCGGCGCGGCAGGGAAGAAAATCAGAACCCCACGAAACATGTGGGGAAAAACCTCTTTCCTCTCACCACCACACGTGTCGGCAGGGCGGGCCAGGCGTTTCTCCCGGGACCGGGACTTCCTCACCGTGGACGCCAGGCCTGTCAGGGACGAGGCAGGCCTGAGCTGACGCGAATCGCGGGATCGGGTCGGATCGAAACGCATCGGGTCGCCAGCGGATCGTCCCGAACCGAACCACATCTAAATCGGATCGCCGCGACCGCCACTGGCAGGCCCCAGCAGATGCCGGTGAATCGATCAGAATCGAGCCGAATCGGAATTGCGGGCCAAATCGGGGAATCGAGCGGCATCGAATCGGATCGTTGGCGGCCCCGCGAGGCAGAGGTCGGCCAGTGCAGGGAGGATAGGGCCAAGAGGGCGGGATGGAGGAGTGGAAGCGCCAAGTTCTGGACGCTGGAGGGGCAGGTAGAGGATGGGCGGCTGGTGGAGGAGGGGGGGAGGGGCAGAGAGGAGGACTTTTTGACATCGGCCGCCAAGGAACACCTAAACTAGGACGAGGACGAGGCGAGGTAAGGGGAGGAGATAAAGGAAAGAGGGGCAGGCGGTGAGGAACGCTTGCTTCGCATGTCGCGGCGGCGGCCCCATCGACGCGCGATGCCTGGCGAGCTGACAGTGACAGCGTGTCGTTCCGCTTCATGGGACGGGAGGCTGGGAAACGCTCAGAACGGTGATGCTGGGGGACTGGGACGTACTGAGCGAATCGCGCCGATGTGTGATTAGCCAGAACTGGCCGCGCGACACGCTGAGAAAAAGCTCCTGGTCGTAGAGAGAAGTAGATGGTGGTGGTGAGGAGGGAGGAGGAGGAGGAGGAGGAGGAGGAGGAGGAGGAGGAGGTAGACGTGGGCATCTGGACATGCCATCTTAAGTGAAGGAGGGGAGAGGGTGGCTTTCCTCTCTTCTCTTTTTCTTCCTCCTCCTCCTCCTCCGCCTCCTCCTCCTCCTCCTCCTCCTCCCCTCCTCCTCATGGTCCTCCTCCTGTTCCTCCTCCTCCCCTCCTCCTCCTCCTCCTCCTCCTCCTCCACCTCCTCCTCCTCCACCATCCCACTGGGACAGCTGCAGACAGCCCCAACAAATATGTAGTCACGGCTGGCCGCAACATGCCCGTAGTCCCAGCTGGCCTCACATGGCCCCCCCCCCCGAACAGTCCGGGCGGGTATCAACGCCCCAACCCTGGAGTGCGGCGGGCCCCAGGAGGCGCCGCCGTTGAGACCTCGCCAGACTAGTCGGTGGACCTCTCGAGGCCGGCCGGGACTGCTCTGGGGACCTGCCGAGGCCCGCCAGGACTGCGTGGGGGGGTGGGGGGGCTGCTTGCGCGCAGCCCGACGCCTGTTCACTTCCCGGCCTCCCACCCTGCCCTCCTCGCAACTCCCCCCCCCCACCCAGGCCCCCGACGGCCTGAGGTCTGGGTCACTTCCAGGGGACTGGTTCTCCAGATTGATTGGCCGGAGGCTCGGCGAGGGTCCAGATGCCGAAAGTAGCACCAGACAAAACGCCCGCCGTGTTTCTTCACGGCGCGAGAGGGGCTGGGCCCCCGCTGCTGCTACCGATGCCCGCGCAAGTCCAGTTGTCCCAGCCGCTCTCGACGACCTGAACGTGCACCGACGGTCCTATTGACTTCCGCACGCCTTCGACTCAACTTCCTCTAGCTCATGCGACTACGCACGCAGCGCCCCGCATTACGCGCCTCATTTTACTACGGATTTCTGAACATCTCAGATCCTGGTCTGTCCCTGCTTTGTGCTTGTCTGATCCCGCCCTCCTTCCTCTGGGATGAAGCCAGGACGAGGACAAACTCGGATGAAGATTCTGAGATCTGGCGGCTCTGGGGGATCTCTATCGGGCGCCGCAGCCTCCCCAAAGCATTCCAGAACGCTCCGAAAGCGTTCCGGAACGCTCTTGGACGGACTTGTCCTTGCCCCAGCCCCGCCCGATGTTCCGTTTCTGGCACATGCCCGTGCCGCTCCTCCGCCTCACGCCCCACGAGCACCCCCACCGGGCCGAAGCGGGTCTCGAACAGCCCGAGCTGCTCGTCCCCGAGGGCTGGGTCCCAGGCGGCCTTCCTCGGGGGACGGGGGAGGGAGGAGGGAAGGGGGAGGGGGGGGGAAGGCGGGGAGGAAAGAGGGGGAGGAGGAGAGTCCAGGGGATTGCGGGGCCCCTCGGGGCCCGAGAAGAGCTCTGCAGTTCGACAGTTGGCTCAAAGCCCGCACGCGCACAAGGCTGCGCAACAGTGCAACACGCAGCAGTTGAACATTAAACTGTGCTGTCTCGAACCAGGATCCCGTGAGGTCCGAATTCGCATGACATCTAAGCTTACCATTCGCATGTCTGGCTGACCCCTGCAGTAGTCATCTCAAAGACCGAACGCGCGCGCGAGGCTGAGCAACAGGTCGCAGGAGCTGCGCATGCACATATCATGTGTTTGTTGCTTTCTCTTTTCCCTCGCAACAAAGCTGCACACCATTTGGGCACCAAGCGTCAGCGAGGCTTTACTTAAGCAATTCGCGGGGGGGGGTCGAAGTGGGAGTGACCCCCCCCCTTTTCATGATGGACTGGGGGTGGGGGGTGGGGGAGGTTCGAACCGGTAGTGACCCTCCCCGGTTTCCGAAGGGAGGGGGGGACGGGTTGGGAACCCCCAATGACTCCCCCCCCCGATTTCCGCCAGCAGCGGTAGAACACGCTTTTTCCGATCTTCCGACGGCCCGAGACGGCCAAGAGCCACCAAAGATCGCCCCAAGATCGGCCACAAGGCCTTCCAAGATGGCCCAAGAACGGCCCAAAAGGCCCTAAAGACGGCCCCAAGGGGACCCCAAGGCGGCCCAAGAGACCTCGAAGACGCCCAAGACGGCCTCCAAAATGGCCCTGAAGCACCCCAAGAAGGCCCCAAGTCGGCCCAGAGAGGCCCCCAAGACGGCTTCCGACGGCGTCAGACAGGCAAGCCAACGAAGCCCCCAAGAAGCCCCAAAAGGCCCCCAAGAGGCCCAGGGAGGCCCCCAAGATACATCGAAAAGGCCCACAGGAAACTCCAAGGAGGCCCCAAGAGTGCCCCCAGAGCTCCAAAGATGCCTTTCCTCCTCCTCCTCCTCCTCCTCCTCCTCCTCCTCCTCCTCCTCCTCCTCCTCCTCCCCCTCCTCCTCCAACTCCTCCTATTCCTCCTCCTCCTTCCTCCTCCTCGTCCTTCTCCTCCCCTTCCTTCTCTTATGATTCGAATTGCGAGTATCATCATTATTATGTTTACTAGTATTCGTCTGCTTCGTATTAAGATTACCCGTGTCATTATTATTCGTATTGTTAGTATCAGTCTTACTCTTCTTTGCCTTAGTATTACTAATAGTATGCTTGTTCATATTATTACATAGCCTTCGTGTGTTCCCTCGTGTTCGGCGTCTTCGTATTCTTCTTATTCGCAGTATTAAACATGTTATGTTTCGTCCCCCTCTTAGTGGTCTTCGTATTAGTAGATCTTCTTCGTATTAAAAGTATGATTAATGATTCGTACTAGTATGTTTCGTTATCATTTTGTCAGTATTCGTATAAGTATTATTAGTCCTCCTCCTCGTCTTCCTCCTCGTCCTGCACCTCTTCCTCCTCTTCCTCCTTCTCCTCCTCCTTCTCCCCCTCCTCCTCTTCCTCCTCCTCATCCACCTCCTCTTCCTCCTCCTCCTCCTCATCATCACCATCATCATCCTCGTCCTTCTCCTCATCATCCTCCTCCTCCCTCCTCCTCCTCCTCCCTCCTCCTCCTCTTCCTTCCTTCTCCTCCTCCTCGTCCTCCTACTGCTCCTCCTCCTCCTCATCATCATCATCATCATCCTCCTCCTTCCTCCTCCTCCTCCTCCTATTACTCCTCCTCCTATTACTCCTCCTCCTCCTCCTCCTCCTCCTCCTCCTCCTCCTCCTAATCGTTCCCGCCATCCTCCCCCCTGTGTTCTCCGAAGGGTTTCTATAAGGGCATGGGGGGACACATTGTCCGCCACAACGCTCGGCCACATTGGCGATCCCAACAGGCAGGGGGCGGCGGTGATTCGCCGTAGGCGTCTTCGATTTCGCCAACGTCTCAACATGCGCTGATGATCCGCCCCCACATGATGTCCCCAGAATCGCCAATGCAGCGTCGAGACGCACCGAAGCGCCTCTGATAGATCCCATTATCATCGAGAGGGTGCTGGCGGCAGGGGGCGAAGCCCTTACCGATCTACATACGCCGTTGCATGTTGTGTGAGGACCCGTCGGCCAAGATGCACGCGAAGGCTGCCCCCGTGCTCGGTGGGCCGAACGAATCCATGGTCTCGCGGTGCAGGAAAACGCACTGGTGCCAATGTAATGCGTTTCAATCAATTGCGGCTGACACATGTTTTTTTGTGTTGCTTGTAGATCTTCGGCGGCACCCATGCACGCACGGACTGCCCGAATAATCGTTTGGTCGAAAGAATCCAAGGACTCGCGGGAAACGGGCACGACGTGGAGCCCACGTGACGGTTTACAATTTATACATATATGTCGCCGCGCCGGCTGAGGGCAAACCCGCAACTGAACCCTGCGCCCAACTCCCAAATTGACCAGGCCGCCACGCGGCAAACCCACGCCACACCCGCCGCGCCCGAGGCGGGGGTTGCCCCTGGTGGCCGAAACGCGTCCCCCCCCCTCCCCCAAGACGGACCGACGCGCGTCTGGACAAACTGCGCGGCGACATGTGCGTTGTGGCATGCTGCTCGCAGGCCTCTGGCGCCCCAGATTCGCGCGCGGGCGCCCCCCCAGTGCTCCTGCGGCCGATGGAGTCCAAGGCCATTCGAGGCAGGAAGCCCAAGGGAACCAACGTGATGTGCTTCAACCAAAGATGGCTGATACAACTGGTTCCTGCGCGTGCTGATTGTGGAAATCTGGCGGCTTCGATGGATGGGCGTGGCCCCCCCGTGCCCGTTCGGCCGAAAGAATCCAAGGCCTCGCAGACGGATTGGACGCGCAGGACCCATCCATCGCGACGACGGGGGAGGGCGAGAGGAAAGCAAGGAAGAGAGGAGGATGGCGGATCAGAGGGGATGGAGGAACATGCAAATAGTAGTTGGGCATTGCGTTCGAAGCAGACGTTGTGCCTCAATGTGAGAATTGGCATTACGCCCACGTGAAGAGCATTGCACCGCATGGGAAGCAGCATTTCGCGCAAGTAATCGCTCATGTGAAGAGCCGCGCGCCCAGCGTTCTGGAGTATTGCACTGCCTATCCAGGAGCATTGCGCCCTTCCCACTACTGGTACAAGCAAAAGCATTACGCCCTTCTGCTGCGGATCCTCTCCTGTCAGCTCATCCCAGACGATGATTGCGCCTGTAACTGCACTCTTGCACCTTACACCCAGTTTAAGATCGTTGCGCCCAGAGTCATTTGAGCGTTACGCACCATGTACAAAAAAAACGGGGCGCCATGCGAGACATAAGCCCGAGCGCATGAGCACTGTTGTATGCTGATGACGTGTCTCCTCCTGTAAATCCCTCTCCTCCTAGAGGCGGTCGGCATGAGCCCGCGCGCGGGTGGCCTGCCTGTGGGTAGTGGTGGCGGGGGGGAGATTCTCCTCCTCCACCTCCTCCTCCGCCTCCTCCTCCTCCTCCTCCTCCTCCTTCCTCCTCCTTCCCCCCCCTCCCCCCCCACTCCTCCTTCTCCTCCTCCTCCTCCTCCTCCTCCTCCACCTCCTCCGCCTCCTCCTCCTCCGCCTCCACCTCCTCCTCCTCATCCTCCTCCGCCTCCGCCTCCGCCTCCGCCTCCGCCTCCGCCTCCGCCTCCGCCTCCGCCTCCGCCTCCGCCTCCGCCTCCTCCGCCTCCGCCTCCTCCGCCTCCGCCTCCTCCGCCACCGCCTCCTCCTCCTCCTCATCCGCCTCCTCCTACTCCCCCTCCTCCTGGTCGTCACTCCCGTCACCATCATCACAGATCGACTGGGACCACGAGGGACCGCCGCCTGAGAAGCCCCGCGGAACCGAAACCGGATGTGGCTCTCGCCGGGGACGCCCAAACCTCGGCTGAGGGAGCTGCCGATGGAGAGGTCCTCCAAGCAGAGCCTCAAAGAAGAGGGTGCTCCTGCCTAAAGGGATCCCAGCAAGAACTGAAGAGGAGGATCCCGCCTGAGAGGTCAAAGAACACATCGGGAAAAAACGAGGTTCCCGCCCGAGAGGTCCCCGAAGAAGCTTCTGGGGAGGAGGCTCCCGCATGAGAGGTCCTAGCAACAACTCTCTGGGGAGGAGGCTCCCGCCCGAGAGGTCCACCAGCAAAAACGAAGAGGAGAAGGCTCGCGCCTGACAGGTCCCAACCAACCCAAGCAAGGTGTGGCTCCCGCCTGCGAGGTTCCCAAAAAACCAAAACTGGAGGAGGCTCCCGCCTTAGAGGTCCCCCAAAAGACCCAACGAAGTCAAACCACCATGCCAATCACCCGTGCAACTGCTCCAAAAAAGCGCACGCACACAACAAACACAAAGTTCCAGTGGAGAACCGACGCCGCTGCCCCATATGCATTGGCGAGGGCCGCCATCTCCGCTGAAACTTTGCGTGCTGTTTTTTGGGGGACAGCTACAAGGATGAGGTGCATGGTGCGTGTGTTGTTGTTTGGTCATGTTCGGGGACCCATCATGCCGGAGCCTCCTCCTATTTGGTTTTGTTTGGGATCTCTAAGGCGGGAGTCTCCTCCTAGGTTTTGCTCGAGGGGCTGGGAGACATTGCCTAAGTGTGGTTTGGGATCGGTTAGACGATGTGGAGAGGTGGAGCGCGCCGGGAGAAAAGCAGGAGGAGGAGCAGCAGCAGGAGCAGCAGCAAGAGGAAAAGGAGGGCAGCATGAAGGAGGGATCCGTAGACCCCCAAAGCCATCAGAAGCCCACCCGCGACGGACAAAAAACCTGTCCCGTGGACGGGGTCGGGGATCTCGAGGGCCCGCGTCGCGCCAGAACCGCGTCGTCGGAGGTCCCGGAGTCCGGGGCTGGGGGGGGAGGGAGCGGCGAAGATGGGAGGAGGAGGAGAAGGAGGAGGGGGTATACGAGAAGGGGCGGAGGGAGAGGAGGGGAGGTGAAGATGCCTCCCCATCTCCTCTCCCCACAGCTCCTGTCTCATCCTCGTCCATCTCCCTCCTGGTTCTGTCCCTCCTGCCCCTCCCCCTCCTCCGCCTCCTCGTCGTCATCGATCCGCCGCGCGATCAGGGACCGTCGCTTCGCGTGCCGCGGCGGCGAGCCCTGCGACGCGCCATGCCCTCGAAGCTGACAGCGTGTCGCTCCGCTCCGCGGGGCGGGCCGCTCTGACAAGCGCAGGGCGTCGACGCCCAGAAGCCAAACCGGCGGAGCGGCACGCTCAGCCCACGGTCCTGGCCGTACCTCCGCCGTCTCCTGCGCTGTGGCTTCAACCGCACACTGCGTTCCCCCCTCGCTGCGTGCCCGTTTGGGGCGTCTCGAAGGACGGCCGTCGCCCCACCCAAAACGCGCTCCTGTGCCGCATGACCACGTCGCCGTCGGGGCCGAGCACCACGCAGGTGTTGAAGAGGCCCCCGTCCTTGGGCACGTACCTGGGACGCAGAAAAAGCCCTCCAAGCCTCCTTACGCAGAGCCACCTACTCCTCTTTCGCCTCCTCCGCCTCCTCTTTTCCACCCACCCTCCTCCCCATCCACCTCCTCTCAACCTCTTCCTCTTTCCTCAAATCCCTTTCGTCCTTCACCGTCGAGAGGTACTCCTCCATACTGCCCAACACGACGTAGATCTGATGCCTCGACGCGAGGCGGGAGAGGAGGCAGGAGAGAGGCAGAACGGAGAGGAGTGAGGGAGAATCGAGGAAGAGGGAAGAGGAGGACGAGGAGGACGAGAAGGAGGAGGAGGAGGAGGAGGAGGAGGAGGAGGAGAAGGAAACGGAGGACGAGGACGAGGAGCAGGAATGAGGAGCAGGGAGGGAGAGGGAGGAGGGGGGGGAGGGGGAGGGGGAGGGGGAGGAGGAGGAGGAGGAGGAGGAGGAGGAGGAGGAGGAGGAGCAGGAGGAGAAGGAGCAGGAGGAGGAGAAGGAGGAGGAGGAGGAAGAGGTAGCCGTGGAGCATGGGAGCAGTGGGGGAGGAGGGAGGAGCAGGAGCAGGAGGAGGAGGGGGAGGAGGAGAAATATTAAGCGTGAGAAAAACCAAAAGGGGAATGTAGCAGAAGGATGCTGAAGGATAATCCAGAAGGGATGTAGAGAGAGGGAGGGAGGGAGGGAGGGAGAGAGAGAGAGAGAGAGAAATTGGAACATCAAGGGATGGTCAGCGGAAGGACGCTGAGGAAGAGGCACATAATGGCGGTGACGAAACCGAGGACTGTGACATCTACTTCGTACCAGGCAATGTGTATGCGTGGAGGGATACGGAGACAGAAAGAGAGAGAGAGAGAGAGACCGATCTGTCCATATAGATCCTGAGAGAGCTGTTGAGCTAAAACCAATACAATAGAGAGAGCGAGATAGAGGGAGAAAGACAACAAAAGAGACATAGTGAGAGAATAGAAGACAGAGGAAGAGAGAAAGGGATACAGATATATAGAGAGAGAGAGAGAGAGGGCGAGAGGGATAAAACAGTTGAAATAGAGAGAGAGAGGGAGAACAACACAACATGGCGCGGATTCGGGAGGAGCCCGCCCGGGCGCCGGCGCGGCGAGCCGCGCGTGCGCCCCCACGCTTACGGCCAGCGCTCGGCCTCCCAAAAAATACAGGGGATGGGTGGGACGACCCCCCGGGGCGCGCGACGAGGTGCGCGACATGCGAACCTTCCTCCTCCTCCTCCTCCTCCTCCTCCTCCTCCTCCTTCCCTCCTCCTCCTCCTCCTCCTCCTCCCCCTCCTCCCTCCTCCTCCTCCTCCTCCTCCTCCTCCTCCTCCTCCTCCTCCTCCTCCTCCTCCTCCTCCTCCTCCTCCTCCTCGGCTCCGCAGGGCGGCAAGGTGCCCACGTCTACCCCGAGGACCCCAGGGGGCCCCCGTCCGCGAAAGAGAGCCGAGGCCCCGAGCGGCACGCATAGGCGCGGCCCGGGAGGGGAGTCGCAGGCGAGGCGGCCCCGGGGGGGCCTATGGTCAGAGGCGGGAGGGCCTCTTCGAGTTGTGCGCCCGCAGCGAGGCAGACCCCCCGGCGTGCAGGGATGTCGAGAGAGGATGGGTAATTCGAGAGAGAGAGAGAGAGGGAGCGCGAGCAATGCAAAAGGAACGAGGAGTCTGAGAAGGAAATGGCGAGAGAGAGAGAGAGAGCGAGCGGGAGAAGGGGAGAGAGAAGAGATAAATACGTGTACTAACAGAGAAGAAGCACGATATACATATCTATGTATATATAGCTGTAAAGAAGAAGAACCAGAAAACAAACAACAAAACACGCGAAGGAGAGGGAGAGGGATATGAGAAGGAGCGAGGGAGGAGGGAGACGGGAGTGACCGGTGAGGGAGCGAGGGAGCAGGGTATGGAGGGAGCGGGATCCTCCTCCTCCTCCTCCTCCTCCTCCTGCTCCTCCTCCGCCGCAAGAGGGAGGGAACGGGAGGGACGAGAGGAGGGCGGAGGCCTCGCGGCGAAGCGGGCGAGCATCATGATGCCGACGTTCTCGCGGGTCAGCACGCCCTGGTCGGTGCACTGTGGGGGATGCTCCACCGCCATCTCCTTCGCGGACGGAAGCGGTATCCCGCTCCTCCCCCCACGCAAACACACAAACACACAAACACACACACACACACACAACAGGAACAACTGGAGGGAGGGCGATGATGAGGAGGCAAAGAGGATCGAGACGGACGCGGGAGGAGGAGGAGGAGGAGGAGGCGGAGGAGGAGGAGGAAGAGACGGAGGAGAGAGGTGGACGGAAGAGGAATGAGGAAAACGGAAGAGGACGGACGAAGACGGAGGACGAATGAGAAGGAGGGTGGAGAGGAGAGGGAGGGATAGGGAGAAGGACAAATGTGGAGGACGGAGGAGGAGGACAGAGCGCGAGAGATGAGGAGGAGGATAGAGGAGAGGAAGAGGAGGAATAGAGGGAGGATGAGGAGGATGAGGAGGAAGAGGAGCAGCAGGAGCAGGGGGAGGGGCGCGGGGGAGGCGAAGGGAGAAGGACGGATGAGGGCGAATGAAGTAAGATGGGGAGGGACAGGCGCGGGAAAAGGGGAGAGGAGCATTGATGAGCAGGAGGGCTGCTCATCCTCCTCCTCAGTCTCGTCCACCCTCTCCTCGGCCCCCCCTCGTCCCCAATACCTGCTCCTTCCTCCGCGCCTCCCCCCTCAGTCCCATGCCCCTCCTCCAGTTGCTCGTCCGCATGGTGATTCGCCCATCCACCTTCTTCCCTGCCCTCACCAAGTGGCGGGCTGCTCGTTGTCATCATACACCCTCCTCCTGATGCTGATCGCTGCCCTCATCATACACCTCGTCCTTTTCCATCTATTCCTCCTCCTCCTCCTCATCATCATGATCATCATCACCATCACCCTCACCCTCATCATCATCATCATCATCATCATCATCATCATCATCATCATCATCACAATCATCATACTCATCATCATCAGCAGCAGCATCATCATCCGAATCATCAGCAGCGTCGTCATCATCACCATCATCAACAGCAGCAGCATCACCACCACCATCATCAGCATCAACAACATCGCCATCATCGTCATCATAATCATCAGCATCATCATAATCGTCATCGTCATCGTTGTCATCAGCATCCATGTCATCAACATCGTCATCCTGATCCACATCCTCATCTTCATCTGCATCCTCATATTCATCCTCCTCCTCACCCTCAAAATCATCATTACCACCGTCAGCAGCATCACCATCATCTTCATCAGCATCATGATCGTCGTCATCAGCTTCATCATAAGCATCATCGGCATCATCAACATCCTCAGCGTCCCCCTCATCATCAGCATCATCATCCTACGTCGCTGCGACTGCCTCATCCTTCTACCTCATGCTCCTCCTCATCATCATCATCAACAACATCATCATCCTGATCATCGTCATCATAACCATCATCATAATTATCAGCATCAGCATCCTCATCACCATCATCAATATCGTCAGCAGCATCATCACCACCACCATCATCATCGTCATCATCGGCATCCTCATCATGATCATTATCTGCATCATCACCAAGCATTATCATCAGCAGCAGCATCGTCATCGTCATCATCATCATCAGCTTCATCCTTCGGCAACGCCGCCGCCGCTCTTCCTATCTAATCCTCATCATCATTGTCATCCTCATCCTCATCATCATCCCCATCCTCATCATCATCACCACAATCAGCATCGTCATCACCATCATCGTCGTCATCGTCATTACTAGCATCCTCATATAGGTCGTCGTTATCACCATCACCTCGTTGTCAACAGCATGAGCATCATCATCAGCAGCATAATCAGCACCATCGCCATCATCACTATCATGGTCATTATCAGCATCATCATCAGCATCATCATCAGCATCATCATCAGCATCATCAGCATCATCATCGTCATTATCATCATCAGCATCATCATCATCAGCATCATCATCAGCAGCATCAGCATCATCATCATAATCATCATCATCGTCATCATCATCATCGTCATCGTCATCGTCATCATGATCATCATCCCCGTCCGATTCCGTACCTCCTTTTGCTCTCCCAGGAAAGGCTGGGGAGGCTCCTCCTCCTCCTTCTCATCCTTCTCCTGTCCCGTCACCATCAGCATCCTTATCATCATCAGCAGCATCATCATCATCGTCCTCCTCATCATTTTCATCATCCTCGTCTGCATTATCATCATCACCATCATCATCATCATCATCATCATCATCATCATCATCGCCATGCTCTTCGTCATCACTAGCTTCGTTGTCGTCGTCGTCGTCATCCTCATCGTCATCATCTTTCCTCGATCTCCTGATCGTGGTCCTTCTGGCCATCATCGGCCACATCCGCAGTTTCCACCTCCCCCGCCGCCTCCTCCTCCTTCCTCTTCACCTCCTCCGCATCAGCATGATCCTCCTCATTCTCCCCCAGCCCTCCTTCTCATTACGAACTCATCCCCGTCGCAGCAAGAGACGTGCCGGCAAGGCAGTTCGGGCATTTCGCCTGAGACGTCATCGCCACATGTAAGCCCAAAACTCTAACCTCAGGGCAGCTACACGGGTCGAGGGCGGGGTAACTTCGATATGTGGCTCGCGCCCAAGCGCCGCGCACATTCGTCATATGGGTTTACAACAACTACAGAAGGTTGGATGAGAAATCGTTGTGTCTCTCGCCTCATCGCCGCGAACATTCGTCTTAAAAGTTACCAGATGGATGAAGCGCAGCACGTCTTCAAAAAGATGGCTTCGCTGTAGCGCCGCACCATCAACATCAATTCATTATCCTCCTCCTCCTCCTCATCATCATCGGCAGCGACAGCACACTCTCCTCCTTGCCCTCATCATCTTCTTCATCATCATCATCATCATCATCATCATCACCATCATCATCATCGTCAGCCTTATCATGACCATCACCATAATCTGCAAGATCATCATCATCATCATCATCATCTTCATCATCATCATCATCATCATCATCATCATCATCATCATCATCATCATCATCATTATCATCATCATCATCATCAGCATCATCATCATCATCATCATCATCATCTTCATCATCATCATCATCATCATCATTATCATCGTCGCTAGCATCGTCGTCGTCATGATCGTGATCATCGTCGTCATCATCGTCGCCGTCATCATCGTCAGCATCATCACCACCAGAACCAGCACCATCATCAGCATCATCACCGTCCCCTCGTCGTCCTGCCCCCCTCCCCCTCCTCTCTCCTCCTCGCCCTCCTCCCTCCTCCTTCCTCTCCCCCCCTCCTCCCTCCTCCCCTCTCCTCCCTCCTCCTCCTAGCCCTCCTCCCTCCTCCCTCCTCCTCCCTCCTCCTCTCTCCTCCTCGCCCTCCTCTCTCCTCCCTCCTCCCTCCTCCTTCCCGGGCCCTTTTGCCCGCGGTCTCCGGCAGAAGCACAATGTCCACGCCCTGGCCATCGACCTTCAGGCAGGGGCCAGCCGGGGCAGGGCGTGGACTCCTGATCCTCCTCCTCCTCCTCTTCCTCCTCATCTCCTCCTCCGCCATGATTCGTACCCTCTCTCCTTCCACTCCTGACCCTCATGCATCTCCTCCATCTCCTCCCTTCTTGCCCCTACCCGGTCCTACCCCTCCTCGCTCCTCTCGCAGTCCCTCCTCCTTCTCATCCTCCGTCTTCTCCTCATCCTCATCCTCATCCTCGCCGCCCCCCTCCTCGTCCCCCACCAACCTCGATCACCTCCTCCTTCGGCTCTCCCTCATCCTCATCCTCCTTCCCGGTTCCGTCTCCTCCTCATCCTCCTCTTCATTCCTGGTTTCACCCACCCACATCCGGAACTTCACCATCATCCTCATCCATACCATCATCATCATCATCATCATCATCATCATCATCATCATCATCATCACCACCATCATCATCATCATCATCAAAATCAGCAGCAACAACATCATCATCATCATCATCATCATCATCACCAACACCGCCACCAACCAAAACCACCACCACCACTCCTTTTATCATCATCATCAGCAGCATCATCATCACCATCAATCATCACTCATCACTCATCATCATCATCGTCATCATCATCATAAGCAGCAGTATCGCCATCACCATCATCATCATCATAATCATCAGCAGCATCATCAGCATCATCAGCATCATGACTAGCATTGCCATCTTAATTACCACAGTGCGACCCTACCTAGAAGTTGGACCCCCTAGGAAAGCAGCATTAGTTGCTATGCTATGCTATGACATGCTATGCTGCGCTATGCTATGCTATACTATGCTATGCTGCGCTATGCTATGCTATGATATGCTGTGCTATGCTAAGCTAAGCTATGCTATGTCATGCTGGGCTGTGCTATGCTAAGCTATGCTAAGCTATGCTATGCGATGCTATGCTAAGCTGCGCTATGCTATGCTATGCTATGCTATGCTATGCTATGGAATGCTGTGCTTGGCTATGTTATGCTATGCTATGCTATGCTACGCTAATGCAGCGCTGCGCTATGCTAAGCTAAGCTAAGCCAATCCTCTAGGCAGAGCCTAGGTAGGGAATTACACCCATGCTAATATGCTATGCTGCGCTATGCTATGTTACGCTATGCTATGCTATGCTGTGCTGTGCTATGATAAAGCTCCGCGAAGCTAAGATGAAGGTAAGCTAAGCTAAGATAAACCTGAGCTAAGATGAAGCTAAGCTAAGCTAAGATGAAGCTAAGCTAAGCTAAGATGAAATAAGCTAAGCTAAGATGAGATAAGCAAGACTAAGCTAAAGGTACGTAACTGGGGGAACCGCGGGGCGAATACTGGAGGAACCGCCCGGGGCGCTTTCCACTGCCCGGCCCTTTAAGCCCAGAGAGTAAGAACCCTTCTAGGCAGAGCCTAGGTAGGGAATAAATTCATCAGCATCCTCCTCATCATCACCATCATCAACAACATCCTCATCCTTGTCCTCATCATCCTCAACGTCCTGATCATCATCATAATCCTCATCCTCATCATCATCACCATCGTCGGGAGCATCAGCATCACCAGCATCAACACCACGAACAACATCAACATCACAATAATAATCATCATCATCAGCATCATCATCCGCCTCAGCATCCTCGTCCGAATCATCATCAGTATCATGAGCGTTATCATCATCAGCATCATCATCATACTCATCGTCATCAACATCCTAAGCACCATGATTGCCATCAGCAAGATTAGCATCAGCACCACCAGTATCATCGTCACAGTCAACATCGTCGTCGACATCGTCACCATCGTCATCATCAGCACCATAAGCATCATCAGCATCGTCATCATCAGTATCAGCATCATCATCATCATCATCAACATCATCCTCATCCTCATCATCCTCATCCTCATCATCATCGTCAGCATCCTCATCATCGGTAGTATGATGATGAGCATCGCCATCATTATCATCAGCATCATCATGAGCAGCATCAGCATCATCATCGTCATTATCATCATCATCGTCCTCAGCAATATCATCATCATCATCAGCATCATCATCATCATCAGCATCATCGTCATCATCATCATCATCATCGTCATCATCATCGTCATCGGCATCATCCTCATCACCTCCGTCCTCACTGCTCTCGTCATATCGAGCCCCTCCACCGTCTGGTCCTCGTCATCCTATCTCTTGCCTCTCGTTCTCCTTCATATGCTTCCCCGCATCCTTGCCCCCCACGAACTCTCCATTCGCAACCCTTTTCTCCTCCTCCTCCTCCTCATCCTCCTCCTCACCCTCCTCCTCCGCAACAGTACCATGTCACGGCTGCTTCTACTGCAGCTGCTGCTCTGCCTCATCCTCCTCATCATCACCATGTTTTTTTCCCTCCTACGTGATGACCGCATCCTGCTTATTCTCCTCCGACGTCCTTCTGCCCCCCCCTTTTCTCCTCCTAGTTCCAATTATCCCTGCCTCGTTCACCCCCTCCTCCACCTTCCATCAGCCCCTCTTCATCCTTGCACCCCTCGTCCCCTCCCCACCCCCATCACCAGCTCCCCCTCACGCTATTCCGCCTCTTCTTCTAACCCATCCTCCTCGTCATCCAGTTCCGCCTCCTCCTCCACCTCCTTCTACTCCTGCTCATCATCATCCCTCAGCCATCTCCCCTTCAAAAAATGACCCTCACCTGACCAGCAGACAGATCGGTGCGGCGGGCCGCGCGCTTCGCCTGAGTCTTCCGCACAACTTGTGGCACCAGACATCAAAACACTCCGGCCGCTACACGGACGGAGCGGGGGGGGATAGAAGGGAGCTCTCGCTTGAGCGCCGTGCATTTTCAAGGCACAGCTACTTGGAAGGAGGCAGGTGGTTCATGATGTGGCTCTTACGCTGGTGGCGCGCACAGTCCGGCTTCAGAGCTGCCAGAAGTGGAAGGGATGGAGGGGGAATCGTCTTCCAAAAAAACAACTGTTGTTGATATCGACCCACCCCCACCGAGGCTCCCAAGAGGCCCCGAGAGACCCCCAAGAGGCCCCTAAATGGCCACTCAGGGGGCCCGCGCGCGCCCATCGACAAGATGATAAATAAAAGATGCTCACCATTGGCTCACTGTTGGGCTACTTATTGGCTCACTGTTGGGCTGACTATTTAGGGCTGGCACACGTCCTGAGGATCATAAGTGGGCAAACTATTGGGCTCTCTATTGGGCGAACTATTGGCGCACCAAGGACTGCCAAAACGCTCACCATTGGGCTGACACGCGCCCTGAGGACCATCGGGCCGAATCCTCCTCCGCAGGATTGCCAGACCGGCCTGGCCTCGCGGCTCAGCAGCTCCACCGCCCTGGTGTACCTCCGGGAGGAGCCAGGGGAGGAGGAGAGGAGGAAGGCGGTCCCGCATCGAGGCCAGAGCATCGAGGAGCATTCACGGCCGAGGGCCGAGAAAAGGAGGCTCGGGCCCGGGGATCGAGGGTACGGCCTCGAGGAGTAGGATCGAGGAGCGAGGAGCGAGGAGCGAGGAGGAGGAGGAGGAGCAAGGATCAAGGCTGTTTACGTGTTCGCCCCAACTTCCGAAGCTTCTGGGGCCTACGGCTCCAGAACGCCCCCTGGAGGCTTCTGGGGAGGGGGGAGGAGGAGGAGGAGGAGGAGGAGGAGGAGGAGGAGGAGGAGGAGGAGGAGGAGAAGGAGGAGAAGGAGGAGGAGGAGCAGGAGGAGGAGGAGGTGGAGGAGGAGCAGGAGGAGAAAGAGGAGGAGGAGACCCAGAGGAAGTCCACAGCACACCCAGATCCCCGTCGGTGTGCATGCTTCAGTCCCGGCGTCGCCCTCGGCTTCGGCCTCTGGGGCCCGTTGTCTGGCCCCTGAGCAAAAGGACGGATCCAGACGGCAGACCTATCCCCAGGGAGCGGGTAGGGAACTCTGGGGACGCGAAGCACGAGGCACGCAGCACGCCCGCACACCGGGAACCGTCTGGGGTGCTGCAGGTGCGGCGCCGGAGCGCCCGAGCGTCAGAACAGGAGGCCCGATTAGAAAGTCGATTCGCTCTAGTTCCAAAGCTCTGTTGTGGCAACCTCCAATATTATCTACTAGAACCACGCGCGCGCTTCGCGCGCGCTTAGGTTCTGTCGAGTCACAGACCCAGGAATCGTTGTGAGAAGAAATTGGTGACGCGAAGCGTCGTGGGGGCGTCCTTGGACGTCTGGGGTCTCCTGGGGCCTCTTGAGGGGCCTCCTGGGGGCCTCCTGGCGGCCTCTTGGGGCGGAAGGCTCGAGCTTGCGGTTCGTGGTCCCCCTCTGGGCCCCCTCTTGGGCCCGTCTTGGGGCCCTCTTGGGCCATCTTGGGCGCCTCTTGGGCCGTCTTGGGGCCCTCTTGGGCTGTCATGGGGCCCTCTTGGAAGCTTCTTGGGCCGTCTTGGGGCGGTCTTGGGCGCCTCTTGGGCCGTCCTGTAACGTCGGAAAGCCCAAAAGGCGACTTTGTTGAAAATGTACGTTTTACGAAGGGAATGGGTCAATTTGTGCGCCTAGGGGCCCTCTTGGGACGCATGTTGGAGGCTTCTTGGGGCGTCTTGGGGGCGTCCTTGGACGTCTGGGGTCTCCTGGGGCCTCTTGAGGGGCCTCCTGGGGGCCTCCTGGCGGCCTCTTGGGGCGGAAGGCTCGAGCTTGCGGTTCGTGGTCCCCCTCTGGGCCCCCTCTTGGGCCCGTCTTGGGGCCCTCTTGGGCCATCTTGGGCGCCTCTTGGGCCGTCTTGGGGCCCTCTTGGGCTGTCCTGGGGCCCTCTTGGAAGCTTCTTGGGCCGTCTTGGGGCGGTCTTGGGCGCCTCTTGGGCCGTCCTGTAACGTCGGAAAGCCCAAAAGGCGACTTTGTTGAAAATGTACGTTTTACGATGGGAATGGGTCAATTTTTGCGTCTAGGGGCCCTCTTGGGACGCATGTTGGAGGCTTCTTGGGGCGTCTTGGGGGCGTCCTTGGACGTCTGGGGTCTCCTGGGGCCTCTTGAGGGGCCTCCTGGGGGCCTCCTGGCGGCCTCTTGGGGCGGAAGGCTCGAGCTTGCGGTTCGTGGTCCCCCTCTGGGCCCCCTCTTGGGCCCGTCTTGGGGCCCTCTTGGGCCATCTTGGGCGCCTCTTGGGCCGTCTTGGGGCCCTCTTGGGCTGTCCTGGGGCCCTCTGGGAAGCGTCTTGGGCCGTCTTGGGGCGGTCTTGGGCGCCTCTTGGGCCGTCCTGTAACGTCGGAAAGCCCAAAAAACAACTTTGTTGAAAATGTACGTTTTACGAAGGGAATGGGCCAATTTTTGCGTCTAGGGGCCCTCTTGGGACGCATGTTGGAGGCTTCTTGGGGCCTCTTGGGGGCGTCCTTGGACGTCTGGAGGCCATCTTCAGCATCTCGGAGCCCTCTTGGAGGCCTCTTGGAAGTTTCTTGGGCCGTCTTGGGCGCTCTGGGGCCGTCTTGTCTGACCGGGGAGGCCTCCGGCAAGCCCCGACGAGCCTCCGGGCCCCCCGGGGTGCACATTTGTGGTCGAGGTCCCGGCCCCGGGCCCCCGGACCCGGTGCGCCGTTATATGTATATGTATGTGTATATATATATATATATATATATATGCATATATGTGTAGTTGTATTTCTATATTTAAATATATATGTGTGTGTCTCGCCCTTGTGGCTGAAGGTCTTGCCCCTGAGGCTGGAGGTCGACGGGAGGAGGGCGAACACTGGAGGTGGAAGATTCGATGGCGGTGGTTGGTGGTGAATGCTGGGGGTCGGAAGCAGGAGACGGGAGGTCGGTCACATGAGGCGGGAGGTTGTAAGGTGGAAGTGGAAAATTGGATGTTGTCAACTGTTGGTGGCTAGTGGGGGTCGGACTGGACGTTGGTTAGGTAAGATGGAGAAGTTATAGGTGGAGGTTGAAAGCTGGAGTTGGAAGAGTGGGAGTCGACAGCTGATGGTGGAAGGTGGGAATCGGGGGCTGGAAGCTCGAGGTCGGCCAGGTGATGCTGATAGTCGAAAGGTGAAGGTCGAAAGGTGGAGATGGAAAAATTGGTACCGAGAGCTGGCAGTGAGCGTTGGGAATCGGAAGCTGGAAGCTGGAGGCCGGTCTGGTGAAAATCACCCCGTCGGACGTTTGAGCATCCGCGATGCTGCAGTTCACCCTTTTGGTCAACCCATAAGGAGGTCCAGCTGAAAGGGGGGGGTGCAATAGATTTGGGGCAAGTGTGTTGCAAATGTACTGCGACGGAGAATTGTATTGCATTGTATCGCGACACATGTATTGCTCGCGAGAATCCAGCAATACATTTGCGCCCCGGGATTTATTGCACGCCCCAAATGCGTTGCAGCCCCACCAATCTATTGCACCAAATGTATTGCACAACCCCCTTGTCGCTGGACCCCCTTTTGGGCCAACCCGAACCCCCCGATCCCCAAGTGCCCGGAATATATTGCACGCCCCGAACGTGTTGCAGCCCCGCATATCTATTGCACCAAATATGTACTGCACCACCCCCTTTGTCGCTGGACCCCCTTGTGGGTCCACCCGAACCCTCCAATCCCCGAGCCCCCAGGTACAAATTTCTCCGTGCCGCTGCGCGGAGCAACTCTTCTGAAGGACGGCCGCCCCAGGGGCCTGCCGCTGGCGAGAGAGACAAGGCTTCCAAAAGGAAGCGTCGCCTGCTGTGTGTGAGGGTTGGCACTGCCGAGCTGCGGGGGCAGGTGGTCCGGGGAAGTACAGTCGGGGCTCTGACCCAAGCAGCCCTAAATAAGGAAAGCGGTCCCTCCTTTCCACAAATGGAACTTCGATTTCCCATCGAAAACCTAAGGACAACCCAAGGCAAACTGTAACGCAATCAAGGAACACGGAGCCCCTCCCCAACGAAAAGCGTTCACTATTCAGCGCCCTGACTGTATCAAGCGAAAGCCATTCCGAGCAGCTGCTGCAAGGAAGAACATAATCAGACAGTGGAATCGGAGAGCCAGTCTCAGTGGACAGCACGACCTCGAAAATAGCCGCCCTTCATCCGCGTAACAGCTTCACACGTTCAAGCGCCATGGTGCGCGAAGAAAAATTAGGGCCGAGCCCCATTGTGCGGAGCACCAAACAAAAAGTTCATTCCCTGCATCTGTGTCTGTTTCAGACCTTTCGAAACATGTGTGCGGCGCTAGAGCGAGAGCTGCGTCTTGAAGACCACCTGCGCAACAACTGCGCAAACGTTGAGAACTTCGAATTGAAGCAAAACTGAATGCGCGCGGCAATGAAGCAAACAACACGTTTTTGAAAACCAGCTGCCCTCTATCACTGCAACAGTTGCAACCTATTCCAAGCGAATGCGCGCGGCGCTGAAGCTAAAGCCGTATTTTGACAACGGCCCGCCGTCCGCGCGTGTACCTACTGGATGTTGTAAGGCTTCGGCCTTTCGAATGACAACTCGTGGTGCAGCCTCATAGCGGCCCACGTGGTGAGACGGGGAGGAGTGGCTTATACAGAAGAGAGATGGAGTAGGAGAAGGAGGAGGGGAAGCAGGAGCAAGAGCAGGAACAGGAGGAGGAGGAGGAGCAGCAGCAGCAGCAGCAGGTTCTCCAAAATAAAGGAGGGGGAGGCGAAGAGTAGGATGTCTTCCGAGGACAATGAGAAGGAGTAGGCAGGAGCCCTCCCAAAACGAGGTGGTGGTCGTAAAGCCGTCCGGGGCTGAAGCCCAGTCCTGCAACAATGGACGCCCCCAGGATGACTATGAAGCCATGCGGTGGGGCCTGCGCCAACTCCCATTCGGTTGCCGTCGGGACGAGGACGAGGAAGAGGAGAAACACAACGACGCCTTTCCAGGGTGAGGGGGGATGGGTAGGAGAAGCAGGAGGAGGTGGAAGTAAAGGAGGAGGAGGAGGAGGAGGAGGAGGAGGAGGACAAAGCCTTAGAGAAGGAGGAATAGGATGAGGAGGATGGAACCAACCGAAAACAGCATAAAAACGCCGATCTCCTGGGTCGGCGCTGGCCACCCCTTCTCCGACGCGAGAAGCACACCATGGGGAGACGCCGGGTCGCCGCCGGTGGGCGGGGGGCAGCGCCGGCCGAACAAATATCCGCGCGGACCTCCGAGGGTTGATGCCCCTACCGCTGCCTCTCTTCAACTAGGGCTCCCAACTTCGCGCTTCGCGCTCCGCGAAGCGCGAAGCGCGAATGACTTCGCGCTCTCGCGCCGCTCCCCGAAAGGGAGAAAAAGAGGACGAGGAGGAGGGGGCGAAGGAACGAGGACCGCGAAGCGCGAATAACTTCGCGCCCTCGAGGGCGCCCTTGCTTCAAGAGCCCTCCGAGGAACAGGAAGCTGAGCATTTTCTTGGGGTGGAGGGCTCGGGGTGAAATCGGATATGGGCTTG